GTTCAACACCATCAGTTCGTTGCTTCCCAAGAATTCAAGCATCCTCACTCCGTTGTCATTCACTTTGTCTTCTCCGTGCTGCCCGATCGCCTGTCCTCTACTGGAAGCTTTCCCTACTCTGGAGTTGAAATCGCCCACCATGGCAACTTCTCCCTTCCTACTGAACCTCTGGACATCTTCCCCAATTTGTCCAAAGTTCTCCTGCGCCTTGCTTGGGGGGGTCAGTGATTGTAGCTTTTGTACAGGGAAAAAGGTACTAGAATGTCTCGTGTTTGGTCTCTCAGAAGAACAAGCAACGATGAATCCCGAATTACAATACGATCACGAAGAAAAGATAGGATAGGAGATAGGAGAGGAGGCAGGATAGGACAGGATAGGATAGGACAGGACAGACAGAACGAAAAGGAGGCCACAGTGGTGTTTCCACTTGTCATGGGTGATGCCCTCTAAAACTCGGGTACGTGCCTGGCCGATTTTCCCTATCGCCCTATCGTGGGCGCCCCGCTCTACTCGAAGCACAACTCGACTTGATCGTTCGGTCTGTTTCAGGAGACAAGGGGTGTCAGGTGTCACCCGCCCTAAAGAGGGACCACGACTGTACAAACATGTGCAGCGTGCTCCTTTACCCAACTCGAGCCGCTCTACACCTTCTCAGCACATGGAGGGTGCTGTCATCCAACAATCGCTCCGCGTCGCCCGCGCCGTCGCTGCCGTCGGTGCCGCTTCCCGGAGAGAAGAGTGTGAGTGGGAGTGGCGGCGGCGAAGATCCGGCTGAGGCGGCGGCTAGCACGCCCGCCACCAGCGGCTCTAACGGGAAAAACGGCCTGCAATAATCGATCATTCAATCAATTCCATGAATACATTCGAGCGCACGGCGACGAAGAGGGAGGGGACAAGACACGACGAGGACGGTACAATCAATCACACAATCACACAATCACACAATCACACAATCACACAATCACAATAGCCGTCAGCAACGGAGAGAGGACGACAAGCACAACGTGGTACAATGAGAGCATGAAAATTGTTGTCGTGAATCATCACTGGTGCAGCACGAGATACGCGGGGCGAAGGGGGATGGGCTGAGGGGGTGGGGTCGAGGATCAACCAACTACAAGACTCGAAAACTGTGATCGATCGACACCAGTACAGCAACGGTCTTGTCACATGAAACACGATTGGTCATTTCTTCCCCATAATCTACGAAATTTACGACGAGAATGGCACTGCCAAACCCCTCGTTAACGTTCCCCACCGGTCCCATCATCTACGACATCTACGACATCTACAATGTGTTGTACGGCAACGCCAAGACTCCCATTCGGACGAAACACTTGCCCCCGCCCACACCTACCTCGTGATAAGGTGAGAAATGCCGCCCCCGGCGCCTCCCCGAACCACCAGACACAACCGGTCAGGCAGACAGGCCGCGATGCCGATGCCTCCCGCGCACAGCCGGCGGTCCATGGAGCACAGCGGTCGCCAGGGGCCGGAGCCAAGAGAGCCCCCGCCGGGTATGTCGGGCTCTTGGTGTTGATGCTCATGTTGCTGGAAGGCGCTGTTGACGCCATCTCCCGGGTGGAGGTAGACAATCCTGAACAACAACAACAACAACAACAACAACAACAACAACAACAACAACAACAACAACAACAAGAGTGTTTTCGTGAAAAGGAGATTCGGGATGGGGGCGTGTTGAAGCGGTGGGATTTGAGATGGGTTTTGGGGCTGCTGGCAGAGCTTACGCCGTGCGACAGCGACGGAACTGACGGGAAAAATAACACTCACCCTACCTAGCCCCACCACATCCTCCACGAACGCATCACATCAACCCATCTCCTCAACAAACGCATCACCTTCGCCAGAAGATGGGTGGATACGTTGGTCCAAGCTGTGGTGAGGTGAACACCCCTCTTGCCTATGACCTGCCTCAGGGAGGCTCTTCTTCTCCCTCCCCCCCGCGAGTCTAACCCTCCCAGCGTTGCGTCTCCACACAGTCAGACGCGCACGAAACCCGACGCACTATCCCCACGCCTCAAAGGTAAACCCACAAAGTATTTCTTGAACAGCCCCCCAAACGTTTCTTAGCCACCTCTGGCAAAGTGGGAAGGAATGATTGGCCTTCGGTGATCGGTCCTGTGGGAACAGCGTTCCGTCCTCTCGAGGACGCGTGGTCAACATGGTCTACGGAATTATCGCTACGGCGTCCGAGACATGAGTACTCCCCCCCCGCCCGCCTCCCACGCACGCACCTGCCGTCCTCCAGGGTACAGACAACGCTAGACCCCGCCCACGCCACAGACACCGCGGACACGGACAGCCCGCCGGAGGCGCCCAGGGCCGAGCGGCTGTGGGGGGGGTGACCCCAGGCCTCCGCGACGGTGGTGAGTCGGGCGGCCGAGAGCATCAGCACGCGCCGCGTCGTGAGGACCGCAAGCATCGGGGCGGCGGGCGGGGGGGTGGAGCCGCTGGTGGTGGTCTCTTGCCCGCTTCGCTGGGGTGGGGGGGGGAGGGGAGGGCAAGCGGAAACGTCACAGAGCAAGCATCAGTGAGTATACAGTAGGACGTTCGAAGTTCAGAAGCTGACAACACCATGGAAAGTACACAGTCATCATCGGAGTCATCGTCATGGCGAACAATGACAAACAACAACCACCGCAACAGCAACACCTGCAGATCACCAATCCCACCGACTCGGCCGACTTACCCTGTAACCCCAAGTCGCAAGCTCCGTCGCGGTCGTGAGCTGCTGGAACTTCGCTTCGACAACTCTTTCAGAGGGCTCTAGCACGAGATGAGCGTTAGCGTACGGTCGACCTCCTGCCCACCCCGGGGCGACACCTCCTCCTCCACCTTGTGAAACCACCTTCACACAAATCGAAGAAAAAAAAGTAACCCGCAGGACGGAAGCAAGGTAAGGTGGGGCATCACAAAAGCACGAAAACTACAAAGCTCCGGTTGTAAAACCCTCCTCATGTGTGGTTCCGGCTGATACGCCAAATTTGCGCACGGTGTGTCTTAGACTGGCGTCAGCATGTTGATGGGACAGGTACAACATGCAAGCACCCAAGGGTGTGTGAAACAAGTTTTATGCACGCACGGCGGCGAGGGTGCATAGCCTACACTGTTGAATGGCCGAAGACTGTCAAAAATTGAATACGTGCAACATGAAGAATTCTTGGGCACGCTGCGCAGTGAAACTTGGGGCAGGTTTCACTGTTAATACGGCAGCAACCCCCCAGGCTGAATCAGCCAACACAACCAACGTGCAACGAGGTATGTTCAACGCCGGTCCCCACTGAGAAGCAGATGCTGACCGATAATGTTACTCCGGGAACACCGTTGTATTCAAGCAAACACGATTGATTGATTGTCCAACTAATGAACCATTGGTCGATGAAAAAAAGAGAAAACAAAAAAAAAATGAATTCATCCAACACGATTGATTGATTGTTATTATTGTTGTTGTTCAACAAATAAACCATTGTTCGACAAAAACAAAAGAGGAAAAAACAAAAACGGCTTCCTCCAACACGATTGATTGATTTCGACAACGACAACGGCCTTTTTTCCATAAAAACGAAAGGAAGAGGCAACAAAGAATATCAAATACTTGATATGCTCACCGGGAGGAGGGGTTCCGGGCACTGAAGCCCTCCGCGATCGCTGTACACCATGGTCTCCAAAAAGCCAGACGGGGTGTGCGGGGAGCGAACGACGTACAACACCTGGAAGACAAGGCACGACACGGCATAATGAAATAATGAAATAATGAAATCACAGGCCGCATCATAAAATCAAGAGGTTGCTTGCTATCAACTTGCGAGGCAACTCCGTGACACAGGGAGAGGCGCGAGACGAAGGGAAGACAGCCAAAAAGCTAAGACACTCTTCTAACCATATCGAAGCAACTTTCGACGCGTTACCGTACCGTCAGCACTGCCATACTCATACTCAGTCGACTACAACAATAGCGGCCCCTCGTCGACCTCCCCTCACCTTGCCCCGCTGCGGACCCAAGCACTCTGGCGTGGCGATCACCCTGGTTACCGGCAGGGAGAGAGCTTTCCGGCCCAGCATCTGCATGTCGGGTATCGAGTACACCGCCGCTAGATAGCCCCCTCCCTCCACCAGCAAAGCCGAGGGCTCGGCTCCGGCGTTCGCGGACGTGGACACGAAGCAGCCGTCCTGCCGCGGTGTTGAGGAATAGAAGGAAGGGCAGGCACGTTAGGAGCAGGTTCAACCGCGATTTTCCGGTGTGTGTGGTTTTCTTTCTGGAAAGGACGATGACGCGCGGTGTTCATGGACGGTACGGGAGAGGTGTCCGGCGTGTTCTTGAGGGTTGACGGACTGTTCAACACTGTTCAACACAGCTAGCCATTGCCCCGTTGGCTGAGAGGTGCTAGGGTTTCAAGCCTGCATGTCGACATCAACCATCTCAACGGTGCCATGCCATAACCTAGGTGCGTGATGTGGTGCACGGACACGACACGCATTTCCCGTCCTCCCCCAAGCCTAAGCCGGAAACGGATTTACTCGTCTCCTGTCTCTTCGGTAGCTACATATAGCCCCGCCCAAGTACTACGAAAATGGCGGAAACGGCGGGAACGGCGGAATTGGGCTTACGAAGTGCTTCTAGTAATTAGTGACATTAGTGATAGGAGGAAATAATAGTAATAGTGATAGTCTTACCGTAGCCGGAAAGAGATGGCTTAGCTGTGCTTCGTTCTCGTATCTGGACATGGGGTAAGACCAGGCCAAGCCAGATCAACACCAGACCCGGGTGTACCAAGTATCAGCGGAAAAACCGACGCCATGCACCACAGCACCAGACCAGCACCACCAGCACCACCAGCACCAGCAGTAAATAGCAGCATCAGCAGCACCGGCAGCATGGGAATACGGCAGTTTATGGAGTACATGGAGTGGAACGCAGTCAAACACCACAAAAACAACCACGCATGTTGATAATTGTGGACCGGGAAGGAAAGGTCAAACACAGCATAGCGACGCGAAAGGAATCAGCACATGTCAGGAGGTATGGTAGGTGCTAAGCTAACGAGAAAACTTTTAATACAACATACCATGGTATAGGAGTGAGTACACTTCGCCATCTTTTCTAGAGCAACGACGGCGAAAAAGTGGTATCTCTTCGACGCGTATGCGTGTCAATTTTATGGCAGCAAGAGCAACCGCACTATTTAGGATCGAAGCTTCAATTCTCCAAAATGGGGCACGCCGCTTGGAACAAATAAACACACGCACACACACTCGTTGTTCGGGAATGTCGCCCAGGAGTGTTTTGACCATTCGACAAAGCCAGCGTGCCCACCTGCCGTGGGCCTCTCCGTATCCCGCAGGCGTCACCAGGCCGCACACCGTCCGCGACATCTCCCGCAACGCCGCGTCTTTGATAAAAACCAAGGGAAACAATTTTCAACACCCGGGAGCACGGTCGCAAATAGTGAAAATACAGGTTTTCGTCAAGATGGCGCAAGGAAGCCGAGCCGATTCAACCATTTGGCGATTTCACCACTTTGACGATTCAACCGCTTGATGATGCAGCTTTTGTTTGGAGTCAACTTTCGATAAGGGATAAAAGTGCAACCAGCGTGGAGTGAGTTTGAAAGCCTGAATTAAACAGCGCCGTACCCGTGCCCCCTCCATTGCGCCGCCCCCCTGTACACAACTTGAGTCCATTCTCATTTTGTGGAGGCGTTTCGTGCGACGGAAGTACAACCACGCGCATCCGGGATGGCAGTATAGTAGCTCCATTTCTCGCAAGGTCATCGACTCACCCATGACACCACAACATTTATGAAACTTGAAATATACTCTGCACAAGACTAAGGGACTAAGAGACTAAGGATGAGTGGCGAGAGAAGCTCACGCCCGGGCAGCCTCTACACGGTGAAAACGCCTGCACAAAAAACAACCCTCTGCTTAAAACAAGCAATAACACAAAATAGGACGGAAAAAAACAAAAGTGTCAATGGATCGGTCTATGGCAGTGTCTAGGGTACGGTACGGTACGGTACGGTACGGTACGGTACGGTACGGTACGGTACGGTACGGTACGGTACGGTACGGTACCTCTGTTGGGTGGTGGCGGTCGGTCCGATCCCTCCGTAGCCACGATCTCGTACAGGACCAAGAAGCGCCTACGTTCCTCCTGTGAGACACCCCCCAAGCCAGCCGCAGCGCCACCCCCCTCTGCCGCCGAGAGCCTCAGCAGGGGTCCCGCAACGAGGCGATATGGCATCAGGTGTCCGGATGGGAACCCCGCGGACTGTTGCAAACATGCGGGGCCGTAATATTGAGGGGTGTTGTTGGTGGGAACAAAAAAAAAAAAAAGAGTTGGTGGGTGACGGTTTCGGTTTCATCGTCGTCATCCATCGCCATCACCATCGTCATGTCGTCCGAAGCTGCCAACGGCGTTGCCAAGACACAGCAACGGCACGGAGAGTAAGCAGCACGGAGAACTTGACCTTGTAAACGACAACACACGACCAGAACGACCTGCTAGTCCAATCCTCCTTAGCGACAGCCAACAGAGGATTGTAGCAGCAACCCGAACCACCCACGCGGCCCGAATACCGTCAGTAGCATCACCGACGTCACCTACACAGCGGCGAACAGCATCGCTTGACGACATAATAATACCGAATCTTGTACCGTACACACACACACACACACACACACACACACCAACGCCCCCCCAGACCATGGGGGCTGAAGAGAAGAATCTTCAGAGTTTAGCCGCACTGAGAGGCACGTCTTGTCAATGCCAGTCGGCTAGCGCGGTCGATTCTACCAGCAAAAACAAAAAGGAGAGGGAAAATACGGCATGGTACATAGAGAAGGAGACAGAGAGACAACGACGCCGAACCTCGTCTCCCGTGGTGTGTCTGAGGAGGTCATCCGTGTGCCCCGGTAGAGACGCCAGCCGCCTAGGTTTACTCCTGTCCTTCAGAACCTTGTCCCTGCACGCAATAAAAAAAACGATACAAGCAAAGAACGGAACGCCGAACGGGGTGCCCTCTGTTTTTTTTCTCGTCCTTCGTTCATCACATCACATCACATCACATCACTTGAAGTCAGTGCTCACGGGGTGGGACGGAAAATTGTTCATTTGTAAGCACCACCGATGCAGAGTAGATGACGTTGACTTTCAACACCGGGTAAGGGCTGGGCAACGCATACTCTCCAGCGTGATAGTCGCGCGGATACACAAAGAGAAGGGGGCGATACCGGCCGAGCAGTCGATGTTCGGTCGCAAAAAATAAAGCTGGCCTCAGATCAGAAACGAAAATAACGCTTGTGCTGAGGGGCACTTCGCCAACATTATGCGGTATGGTATCATTCGCTGTATGACAGCAGTGGCGGCAAGTACAGTAGCCCTGCTGACGATGAGTAAATCGCTATGGATGCAGCGCCCGACCCCAGGGAAAAACAAGTACCCCCCCTTTCCCCGTACGGTGTACGGTGTATGGTGATACGACGTGACATGGCATGACATGGGATGGGAGAGCACAGTCTTTGGTCACGCGAAGCAGCCACGCTATGCCTGACTACTTGTACAATACTGTCGAAGGAAATTCACCAAATAAACATCTTGAAGTGAGAACGACTCCAGCTCTTGGCCATGCCCAGATGAGTTATAGTTCGAGGGCGCTCGTGGGCGGGGGGCGGGGTGTACTCACAGTCGTGCATGCCGTAGTCGTTAGACCATTGACCTCGCATCCCTACAAAGCCGGGACGGAGCACGCCGGGTTCTCACCGGACCAGGCTCGCACATCACCAAGCGCGAAGCGCCGTGTGGCATTTGGCGAGTCGAATGAAGGAAGGGTGTGCTGCATCCTGCTCTTTTCGGCATCTTGTGCTTACTTCCTTGCGTACGGATGACAGCTGCGTATGACTTAATTTATTTTCTGGTGCTTTCACTTCCAGAGACAGTTGTAAGCACTGTGTAACTGCCTCGAGGGTGCTTGACCATTTTAACACAACGTGGTGCGATCATCCCCCTTGCGCGGAGTGAGGGTTCTCCACCCCGCACAACATGATCTACTCGACCACCATTATGGTTACCGCCAAAAAAAAAAACGGAGGTAAAAAAAAAAAACGGTAACCTGGTTGCCGAGTTCACGAAGTGAATCGGCTTGTTTTACAACGTCGTTGCCAAGCGACGAAAACCCAACCCCGATGGAAAACAACGGGGGGGGCGGAACAGGGGGGGGCGAAACACCGAGGGGGGGACTTGTTTTACAACGCCGTTGCCAAGCGACGAAATTCCAACCCCGATGGCAAACACCGGAGGAGTGGGGGCGGGGGGATTCATACCTTTCCAGCCCCTGCGCATGCAGGACGGCCTTTACAGCTGGAACATCCAAGCCACCCCCTGGGCCTGCCTGGATGAGGACCGCCATTGTTCGTAAGAAGTAAACCTGCGCGCCAAGCCGAGGGTAGGGCATGGGGTCGACATTGTTTGTGGAGGAAACACAGCTTCAGCAGTCGGGTGCCCTTGATAGTGTGTGGATGCACCAAGCGCTCCTACCCGCGCACTATAGCGAGGAGGCACCCGCGCTATTCAATGTATTAATCGTATGTATCTGGAGTATTCCATCGGTGCGATTCAATATACTAACAAAAAATGTCTTGAGAGTTCCATCTGAGCTAGAGGGCACCCAACTGTACTAGCAACAACGTCCACAGGATCAAGGGAACCCGATACTGGGGTTTCATAAACAAACACCAAAATGGCTCCGGAGTGTACCGCAGATGTTCAGCGTTTGTGGGGTGGAAGGGGAGACGTAGCAACTCGAATAGCCAGTAAGCACAGAACGAACGGCGATAAATGGTAACGGAGAAACCTTGAACAACCGCACGTTCAGACCACCATTCCATTACCTCGTCCCAACTCCCACCTCATCCCAAGTGCTATCTAGCATGCATGGAAGCGGTTTTCGTCTATCTGTTCCGAGAAAGGAACGCTAGACGGACGAAGTACTTCAGCGACTGGCAAAATGGCAAAGCGGACTACAATAGAGCTCCGTGTTGTTGTGCACCCACCTGTAGCGGCAGCGGTATGAGCGGTTGCTGCTGCGTTCGGGCAGCATTCGGCGATGATGTCCCGTCGCCCCCCATCACCCCCTCCAAGAACACCGTCGGCGGCACCTCCACCGTGGTATTCAGCACCCTGCGAAACGTGACGAGGGAGGGAGGGCCGCGTGCAGCAGGCACATGCTGACTGCTGTGCAGTGTGGTTTGTACGCGACGGGCGATGGGGGGCTGATACAAATGCCAAGGCTCGCAATCCATCACCAACTCGTGGGGAGCCAAAATCAAGCACAACCGCGTTGGAAAAAGTGAAAAAAAAGGCCTGCGCCTGCCTCCACACCAGGGGCAGGACGTCGCAGCGGCACTACTTGTACACAAGCCTCCTCCCGCTCGCGAAAACAGCGGTGTCGTTCACGGACCACAATCAAACCCGAAGCATGAAACCACACGCAACGTGAATGCATCACATGCATCTGCAACAAAAGAAACGACAAGAAACGCGATGACCAACACGACGCTTTCCAATCCCAACTCACCGCAACGGACCGCGGTCCAGAAAGCTCCCGCTGGCTAGCGCCAACACGCTCACGGCTCCTCCTCCTCCTCCCCCGTCCCCTCCCGCCATCCCGTTCCAGGCAGCACCGGCGGCATCGACGTCTCCTGACCCGACGCCCCCCCCCTTCGAC